GTTGTGTGTGTGTTGTGTATGTTGTGTGTGACGTGTGTGTTGTGTGTGTTGTGTGTTGTGTGTGTTGTGTGTTGTGTGTTGTGTGTGTTGTGTGTGTTGTGTGTTGTGTGTGTGTTGTGTGTTGTGTGTGTTGTGTGTTGTGTGTTGTGTGTTGTGTGTTGTGTGTTGTGTGTTGTGTGTTGTGTGGTGTGTGTTGTGTGGTGTGTGTGTGTGTGTGTGCCCCCCCGTCTGCCTCGGGTCGGCAGCAGCGCCCTGGCACTCCGGACAAGGGTCGCGCAGGCGGCAGGTGACGTCCAGCAGGGCCCTGGCACTCCAGAGCAGGGCCCGGGCCGCCGGGAGACGAGTCCCCGGCCGCTGTGTGGTCGACAGGATTGTCCCTGGCCGAGCTCTGGACGGTACGGAACTGGCAGGACGCGCGCGTCTCCGGTGGAGGGGGAGTGCGCAGCCCTGGAGGGCCCCGTGCGCGCAGCTGTCGGCATCGGGGCGCACGCGCAGCAAGAGGCTCAGCGGGGCCCTGGCACTCTGGACCGGGGGCAGGGCCGGCTGGAGGTGCCTGTTCCTCACAGAGGGGGGGGGGCCTGGCGGATGGAGGAGGGAAGAGGTAGAAAGAAGTAGGAAGGGATGAGGGAGGAGGAGGAGGAAAAGGAGGAGGAGGAGGAAAAAGAGGAGGCAGGAGGAGGAGGAGGAGGAGGAGGAGGCGGGAGAAGAGAGAAAGGAAGAAGGGAGAGGAGGAGGAGGAGTGAGGAGGAAGGAGAGGAGGGAGGTGAGGAGGAGGAGGAGGAGGAGGGTGAGGAGGAGGAGGCAGGAGGAGGAGGAGGAGGTGGACCACGAGGAGGAGGAGGAGGAGGAGCAGGATAAGAAGAAGATGAAGAAGAGGAGAGAGGAGGCGACAAAGGAGGAGAGAGGAGGAAGTGAAGGATCGAGAGGGAGTGGGAGCGGGAGCGGGAGTGGGAGTGGGATTGGGAGTGGGAGTGGGAGTGGGAGAGGGCGTGGGAGTGGGAGAGGGAGTGGGAGTGGGAGCGGGAGTGGGAGTGGGAGCGGGAGCGGGAGTGGGAGTGGGAGTGGGAGTGGGGGTGGCATGGGGAGAGGTAGTGGTAGTGGGAGAGGGAGTGTGAGTGGGAGTGGGAGTGGGAGTGGGAGTGGGGGAGTGGGGAGTGGAGTGGAGTGGGCAGTGGAGGTGGATGGGAGCAGGGACGCTCGGAAGCAGGAGGGGGAGGGGAGTGGGAGTGGAGTGGGAGGGACGAAGACGAGGAGGAGGAGGAGGAGGAGGAGGAGGACAAGAGAAGGAGGGAGGAGGAGGAGGAGGAGGAGGAGCAGAGGAGGAGGAGGAGGAGGAGGAGGAGGAGGAGGAGCGGCGGAAATGGAGAGGGGGAGGCAGGAAGTCTAACAAGGACGATCAAGAGAAAGAGTCCAGCAGCGCCTGGACGTACGTGATCGTGACCGTTGCGTTGCTGATCGTGGCGTTCGCTGCGGTGCCGCACGCGACCTCCCACGTCGTGTTCCCGAGGGTGGCGCCTCGCAGCTCCTCCGATGCAAAGTGCCCGAAGTACTCGCACGCGCCGTCGGCGTCCAGGTCCATGGTGGCGGTCATGCTCGGCTCGTCGCTGTCGATGATCCATCGGGGTTGTTGCTCGACACGCTGCACCCCGTCACATGAAGGATCCCAATAGAGATACGCGCCATCACCTCGGGGATGGACGGACCTCCCTTTAGTAAAACGTGGTTTAGTGAAAACGACCTGAGGCCCAAACCTGGCGGGCGCAAGCCTGGAAAAGAACGGCCGCGGCGCCCTCTCGAGAACCGAAAACGGACAATTCACTAATCGACGTGTCACTGTTGGGGGTTCTGTCCACCCCCGAATCACCGTTGCTGTAGGCTGGAGCTCCGGTCGCGCTGGTTGCCCACAGGCTGAAGAAGGGGCTGCCGATGTCGGCCACGAGCCGGCACGGCCACTCCACTCTCAGGTGCTGCGGCGGCGCGCACGAAGCTCCTGAAGGGGCCCCAGGACACACAAATAAATACACACAAATAAAAATATTCCCCATGGTTTCCCATATTTTCTGGGCTTCTGTCTCCCCCCCCACTTCCCATATTTTCTGGGGAATCGACGATTAATTGTGTCTGTGTGTTTTTTCCCCTCCTGAGCTCCAGAGCGATCTCTCGAGCAAATTTCGCTGCTGAAGCACGTTTCGGTGCCACAAGAGCACGGGTAGACCTGACTGGGAGACGATCCATCGGTGACATCACAAGGGTCAACCAGCGCAGCAGGCGTGGGTGACGCAGTGGGTTGTGGAGTTGGTATCTTGTTGAAGACGACGTTGAGAGCCCCATCTGGAAGTGGATCTGAGCAGGTGGTGCCAGCAGCATGTCCATCTGTGTAGTTGCAAGCGACATCGAAAAGATCACAATGACCGTTCCAGATCGACTGCCAGGGATGAAGGCCGAAAGCAAGGCAGGTTGGGCGATATCTACACTCCTCTGCACATCGCTCGAGAGTTGTAAACTCATCGTTCAACTGGCCGCCGAACATACTGTTCCCGCACATGCAGTTTGTGGCCACTTGCGCAAATCCAGGGTATGTTGAATTGAACAATTCGTCAAAATGTATTTCCGTCGGCATTGGAGTTCCAAGCCGCTCTGGTGCCGTCAATGGAAGGCATGGTCTCGGGCACGTGCGCGAGAGCCTTGGTGTATCGTGGAGCAGTTGTTGGAAATCTTCGAAACTGGAGTGTCTGGTCAAAGGAACGTACCACTCTGGAACTTTCATGATGCCAGTATGCATCGCCCACTTCACTTTCTCATAGCAATCGTCACCCTCGACCGACGTATGGCATTCCTCTGCGCCTGCGGGAAGCCGAGCAGGCAGCTGGGTTCCCGAATCCTGCTCAGCACACGGCTCAGGGCACACGAGGGAGAGCCTGGCCGTGCTGTGCAGAAGTCGCTGGAAGTCCTCGAAACTCGAATTCCAAGCCAGTGGGGCGTACCACTCCGGGTGCTGTTGGAAGCCAAATTGCATCGCCCAAACCACTTTCTCGTGGCACGCGTCGCCCTCGACTGACGTGTGGCAGTCCGTTTCACCAGCTTGTGATGCACAAGGTTCAGGGCACACGTGGGAGAGCGAATCAACACCGTGCAGGAATTGCTGGAACTGCTTGAAGCTAGAACGTGCTGTCAAAGGAGCATACCAATCTGGGTGATCCACGACGCCAATCTGCATCGCCCGCACCACCTTTTCGTAACATGCGTCGCCTTGCACTGAGGTGCGACAGTGTCCTGCGGAAGTCTCCAGCGTACATGGCACAGGGCACACGTTGGATAGCCTGGCCGTGCTGTGCAAAAGACGCTGGAAGTCCTCGAAGCTCGAGTTCCCCGTCAGAGGGGCGTACCACTCTGGGTGATCACCGACGCCCGTCCGCATCGCCCACGCCACTTTCTCATAGCACTCGTCGCCCTCGACTGACGTGTGGCAGTCCTCTCACGGGCGACGACCGTATCCATATCCGCGCCCTCGCGGTCTGGAATCCGGGGCGTAATCCCGCGGATACGCGGTCGCACGGATGCGTTCCGCGCGGGGCATCTGCGAAAGAACGCCCCGCATCCGTGGGGTCGAGGCCCAAGGAGCCAGCCCGCGAGGCCCCAAATACGGACATGATTTTCGCCCACGTCCTCTGCGCCTGCGGGAAGCCGAGCAGGCAGCCGGGCTCCCGAATCCTGATCAGCACACGGCTCAGGGCACACGTTGGATAACCTGGCCATGCTGTGCAGAAAACGCTGGAAGTCCTCGAAGCTCGAGTTCCCCGTCAGAGGGGCGTACCACTCTGGGTGATCACCGACGCCCGTCCGCATCGCCCACACCACTTTCTCATAGCACTCGTCGCCCTCGACTGACGTGTGGCAATCCTGATCCGACTCGGGCCCAGCACCGCCGTCCTGCGATCCCTGTGCTACTAGCTGCAGGAGCTGTACGTCAGCACGCGCGTAGCAGATCAGTGCGAGCATTCCTCTCACGAGGCACCACATGACCCTGAACAGTATTTTTAGGTCGGGCGTGTCCTCCTGCAGGCGGATTTTGAACGAAAAAAAGAATCAACTATACCCGAAAATCATGAGAAACAGATAGAAATCGTCCCCAGATGATGTTCTGACTATTTTTGAATTTTCCTCCTGTAGAGAGAGATGCCCGACTTAAATCAAGACGATTCTCTATGCGATTCGATATGAGAGGGGGTCGAGATTCGCCCCCGTGTCAGCGGCACGCTGGGGCGTGTCAGAACGCCTCTCTGCTGCCTGGCAGGGCTTCCTGTGGCGCTTCCATGGCCGACGACACCCCCATCCCCACCCTCGCCCAAATCCTGGAAGAGGAGGAGGGGGATGAGTAAAAGGAGGAGGAGGAGGAGGACTCACGCGCCCACCCACCCCACCCATCCACCCACCCACCCTTCGGGGGCTTTGTCTGTCCCGTCGCGACCCTGTTCGCGTCGAATCCGTGTCGGATCCGTGCTGGACTCGTCGGATCCGAATCGTATCCGAGTCGAATCCGCGTCGAATCCACGCAAAATCCGCGTCGAATCCGCATCAAGCCCGCTTCGGGCACAAGAAAGGGCACCAGTTTTGGGGACAGACGAGGCCCCCCGAAGATGCAACGCAACCACCCCACCCCTGCCAGCGCGTGGATTCCGAAGCGCACCCCTCTGGTTCTGCTCTCCAGCGCCCCTTTCGGCCTCCAGACGGCTCCAAGGCACCCAGAGGCCGCTGCAAAGCAGCCACAAGCACGCCACAAGAACTCAAACACGGCCCAGCGAGCCCCCCGAGGTTCCAGGATGAGACGCCGGAGAAGGCTCCAGCGAGGCCCACCAGGGCAACAAAAACATGTGTTAAAATCTGTTTAAAGAAAGAACAGCAAAAATCAAAACGCGCTTTGCTTCCGCGGTCGATGCAAACTGACCCGGGGACGCACTGACCCGGGTCAATGCATACCCGGGTCAGTCTGGCTTTTCAAAATCCTGCAGGATCCCGCAGGATCCTGCGCGCTAACCCGGGTCAGTGCACCCCTGGCTCTGCAGGATCCTTCAAGATCCGGCGCTCTGGCTGACCCCCGTTTGCATTGACCCCCGTCTCAAAGCTCCCGAGCTCTTCGTCTCCAGATCGCCCTGTCAGAGGGCCCTAAGAAACCTCCAGGAAGGCCCAAAACTGTCCCAAAGGCCCCCAAAGGGTCCCAAGGACGGCCCGGGAACTGCCCAAGACGGCCCAGGCGCGCTCCAAGACGGCCCCAAGACCCTGGCGAGACCTGCCCCCAAGTAAGTTCAATCTGAACCTCTTCAGGAGAGCTCGGTGGAGCTATCGCGCCCAAGACGGCCCCGAAACCCTCGACGGGCCTCCCACGAGCCCCCAAGAGGCCCTCAAGAGGACTCAAGAGGCAACCAAGAGGCCCCAAAGGGGCTTCCACGAAGCCTCGACTGTACTTTCAAAATGGGAGGAGGGAGGCAAGGGAGGAGAAGGATAAGAAGGAGGAAGAAGGATGCAAGAAGCGGACAACGAGGCTGCAGACAAGGAGGGGGGGTCCACGCTCGTTCAAACAGAGTACTTGACTGGAGGTGGAATAAAACTTGTCATCCTTCCAGCTGGGGGGCTGCGATGGCACGGTGACGGGGTTTGCCGCAGGCAGCTGATATGCAACACGTGATGCAACTAGCCCATCAAAATATAACGGATGTGAGGCCAAACGGCTGCAGTCGGATTCGGCAAGATGAGCGAACACAAGGATGCTAGATACTTGCAACACAACCCCCCTCCCACAGGAGGGGGAGGGTGTAAGGGTGCACCACAAAGGATGCAAGAGTGTCGAACGGATCCCAATCGCCCCGATCACTGATATGGACTGTCCCAATGGAGCTGACGACATTGCCGAAGATATTCCCAGCGACGACGATGATGCACATCATTCCGAAATGGTGCTTCACTGCCCTGCTCATCCCAACAACCACTGTCTGGGCGTAGGGTTCTCGATCTAAAGGTCATCATAAGAGCATCCCACGACGGCCCAAATACGGCCCTCGGAAAGCCATGAAACAGCATGTCTTCTCTGTGGGCTTGATGATATACTTGTGACTTCCAAGTTGTTCGGCTCGGTCAGGCCTCGGAGGGCCCCAGAGACTGCCCAAGAGGGTCCCGAGAGTGACCTAAAAACGGCCCAAAACAACCCCAAGAGGGCCCTAAGACAGGCAAAGAGCGCCTCCAGAGGAGCCCAAGACCGCATGACGTGGCCCGAGACGGCCCCACAAGGCACCCAATACGACCAAGTGCCCCCCAAGATAGCCCAAGAAAGCCCAAGATGCCACCTAAAGTGCCGAAGAAAGCCCCAAAGACCTCCAAGACTGCCCCAAGAGGACCTCCAAGAGAGCCCGCAAGCGGTTCAGGAGGGAGGTCACCAAGAAGGCCGAAGAAGCCAAGACAAAGCCAACGAGGCCCCTAAGAGGCGCCGAGATGCCAGTCAGAGACCCCTGCCACAAAGAGCAGCAGTGACTTGCCCGAAGTGTCTTCGATATTCACACGTCTCAGGCACATCGTGATGCTCTCCCAGAGGTAGCGGCTTGCAAGATTTGCCCGACGCCTCCCAAAGTCCATCGCAGGTTACTCCAGATTTAACTATAAAAGGGCGGTAGTCTGATTTGGGGGGGTCTGATTTGAGCTGCCTTGGAGGGTTCCAGTGGAGTCTCGGAAAAAGAGCCGCCCCTTCATGGCTGGTCTGGGGGGGACCTGAAGCTGCTCGTCTGGGAGGGTTGTGACCCCCTCCCCTTTTGATTACGCCCTTTGAAACAGCCGAAGGAGAGCAGGCCAAACAGGCGGAGAAAAAAATCCATAAACATGAACTTTTAGCGCTCTGCGCGGATTTCGTGGATCTGCGCAGGACCCCCCCCCTTCCCTGGCGCGCGGAGCGCGCCAAGGGCGGCGCCGGAGGCGCCGCTGGGGGGGCCCAGCGCGGATCCGAGAGATCCGCGTGGAGCGCCAAAAGTTTATATGTTTAAGGCAAATTTTCTTCTTCGAAAAAAGCAGAGCCCCCGAAGCAGCCAGATCACGCGGCCGCCTCCGAAGGTCTGCGCAGGCTGCCAGGTCGCTGGCACGCCACGGGCGTTTCTTCCTCTTCGACCTAAGTCGCACCACAACCGCACCATCACGACATCTGGAGCGGAACCCCCCCCCGAAGGAGGAGGGGAGAGGATCGCCGGAGCAGGCGGGGCTCACCAGTGATGCCTCAGCGATCAGGCTGGAGCAGGGAGGAGCACGAGGAGAGGGAGAGAGGAGCAGCACGAGGAGGAGGAGGAGAGAGGAGAGAGGAGAGAGGAGAGAGGAGAGAGATGAGAGAGATGAGAGAGAGAGAGGGAGAGCAGCACGAGGAGGAGAGGGGGGCAGCACGAGAAGGGAGAGGAGAGGGGGAGAGAGGGAGCAGCACGAGGAGGAGGCTTCCGCACCATCAGATTTTGCTGGGGGGGGGGGGCAACCCGGTTGGGGGGCGGAAAGATACGGATACGTGTTGTCCCCGGACCTCTCTTGGGGTGCGTTCTGACCAGAATTTCGACGCGAATCCAGCGGTGACAACGAGGATTCCCCAGGAGGACCAGGAAAGGCCGAAAACGAAGGGGGACAACACGTATCCGTATCTTTTTCTCCCCCGATGGGGCGGCCAGCCTCCTCGGCGGAAGGCGGCAGGCACGGCCCCCGGGGGAGCGGCGGCGGCGGCGGCGGCGGCGGCAACGGCGGGCAGGCCAGCGGAGAGGGGGGGGGAAGCGAGGCGGGGCCCTGCAGCGAGGGCACACACACACACACAACACTCCTCCTCCTTCCTCCTCCTCTCCTCCTCCTCTCCTCCTCCTCCTCCTCCTCCATCCTCCTCCTCCTCCTCCTCCTCCTCCTCCTCCTCCTCCTCCTCCATCCTCTCCTCCTCCTCTCCCTCCTCCCCCTCCTCCTCCTCCTTCCCCTCCTCCTCCTCCTCCTCCATCCCTCCTCCCATCCCCTCCTCCTCCTTCCTCCTCCACCCTCCTCCTCCTCCTCCCTCCTCCTCCCCCTCCTCCTCCCCGGCACCACTCTGCGCGCGTCGCAGAGTGGTGCGGCGAGCCGAGCGGCCACGGGCAGTCTCGCGCGCCCCCTCCGCCACGGCCCGGCCAACACGCCCTCTGCTCTCTGTCTGCTCCCGCGCCTTGTTCCCAGCCGCCCTCCACGCGGCTCGGCGACAAGCGAGGGGGGGAAGTGAGAGGGAGAGAAGGCCTCCTCAGAAGGCAGCCAGACTTCTCACAAGCCCTCGCGCCTTTTGAGAAGTCTTTTGTCGTCTTCGGGGAAGGCCTGGAAGACGTCTCAGAAGGCCGGGGGACTTCGGAACCTTCCGAGAAGACCTTCCCCCTCTCACTTGCCCCCCTCGCTCGCCGCCGAACAACGGCGGGCAGGCCAGCGAGGAAGACGAGAGACGAATTGGATGCACGGCACCAGCAAGAAGCGCGTCAGGAACTGCCCGCCGCGGGGGCCCTCCCTCGACACGGCTTCTCTCTATCGACGAGGGCAGCCGCTCGCTGCTCGTGCGAGGGGACCCCCCTGGGGGCCGAGGAGCATCCGGCAGCCGGCGCCGAGGGCAGGAACCGCTGCCGACTCCGAGGGGGCCTGCAGCTCGGAAAGGGAGGGGCGGAGGAGAAGGAGGGGGGAGGAGGAGGAGGAGGAGGAGGAGGAGGAGGAAGGAGGAGGAGGAGGAGGAGGAGGAGGAGGAGGAGGAGGAGGAGGAGGGCAGGCGCAGGAGACCGGCAGGCGGAGCGGCGAGGCCTCGCCGGGGTTCGCGGTCAGCACCCCCGGCGGCGCCGCCAGGAATTTGAGCAGCACCAGCACCTGGCCGCGGCGCGTCGGGGGGAAGTGGGCGGGGCGCGCGAGGGAGGGAGGGCGGCATGCACGCGCAAGCGCCTCGGAGAGAGGAAGGGAGAGGGGGAGGGGGAGGGGGAGGGGGAGGTGGAGGAGGATGGAGGAGAGAGAGGATGGTAGGG